CCAAATATCTGAATACGTTCACCTCCTCCATACTCTCTCCCTCCAATCTGATATTCAATCTTTCATCACCTAATCTTTTTGTTATCCTCATAACCTTACTCTTTCCTGTATTCACCTTTAATTTTCTTCTTTTGCACACCCTACCAAATTCATCCACCAATCTCTGCAACTTCTCTTCAGAATCTCCCAAGAGCACAGTGTCATCAGCAAAGAGCAGCTGTGACAACTCCCACTTTGTGTGTGATTCTTTATCTTTTAACTCCACGCCTCTTGCCAAGACCCTCGCATTTACTTCTCTTACAACCCCATCTATAAATATATTAAACAACCACGGTGACATCACACATCCTTGTCTAAGGCCTACTTTTACTGGGAAAAAATTTTCCCTCTTTCCTACATACTCTAACTTGAGCCTCACTATCCTCGTAAAAAACTCTTCGCTGCTTTCAGTAACCTACCTCCTACACCATACACTTGCAACATCTGCCACATTGCCCCCCTATCCACCCTGTCATACGCCTTTTCCAAATCCATAAATGCCACAAAGACCTCTTTAGCCTTATCTAAATACTGTTCACTTATATGTTTCACTGTAAACACCTGGTCCACACACCCCCTACCTTTCCTAAAGCCTCCTTGTTCATCTGCTATCCTATTCTCCGTCTTACTCTTAATTCTTTCAATTATAACTCTACCATACACTTTACCAGGTACACTCAACAGACTTATCCCCCTATAATTTTTGCACTCTCTTTTATCCCCTTTGCCTTTATACAAAGGAACTATGCATGCTCTCTGCCAATCCCTAGGTACCTTACCTTCTTCCATACATTTATTAAATAATTGCACCAACCACTCCAAAACTATATCCCCACCTGCTTTTAACATATATACCATACCTCCATATTATCTGACCTCGGTATATACCATACCCTCCATGTTACTTGACCTCAGTATGTATCAGGGGTAGGCAAGTTCTTCAGTAAGACGAGTCACATATAATACTTTTCATGCATTTTTGAATGTTAAGAGCCACAAAAAATATTTTAAAATTGTATTTATAAATAATAGAAAACACAACTATATAGTGGACTATTTTGTTAAGTGACTAAATTAGATTTCAAAAATTTTATCTTATTTTTTTGCAGTTCTGATTCAGGAGGAAATTCAGATGCAAATTATTTATGGTTACATCCATAGTGATGTTTTAATTACTAGCTTTAAAGTAGCTGATGGTTATATGACAGATAAAGCACAGAGCCTCTTCACCCTTAACAGTAAAAGCAAAATCGTCCTTCCACTGTTGGTTAAACACTCTTTTTTTCTTGTTTGTATTTCTGTTTTATACTCATCTGTTGCTTGGTCATTTTAAACAAGGGTTTTATAACTTTAACTAAAATCAGTCTTTAGTATTTATTAGTCATAAAAGTACTTATCTACACTGTATTGCATTAGTTATGCTCCACTATCACCACAAGCATATAACTTGTATGTATTTTATGAAGACTGATGGCACAGAGTCCAGTTGCATCATCCATACTTGTTTAAAACATAGTTCAGCCAGCCTAAACAGCAGTTTGGACACACAGTGCATGTAGATGTTTGGAAAGATAATGTGAATTACCCATACACAGTAGAGCGTTGATTATCACGATAGTTACATTCCTGAAAATGCAGTGTAAGACGAATCTGTGTTAAAGAAACTGAAGAACTTACGGGAAAAATAGGGTTATGTTCCTGGGACCCCTAAAAAGCCAAACGACTTTTTTTTTTTTTTCTGTAAATCTTACAAAAATAAAAATTATAATGTAATTGTTGTTCATTGTCATGATGTATTATGTTTTTTTCTATTGCTTAAGGCTACAAATGCAACTGAAATATTTCTTACCTTAAATTGTGGCTGCTGGTGTTTGTCGATGATTGTGAAGGGAGTGGAAAGCCATGCTGTGGCCCTACTGGGCTGAGGAGGATGATAGTCAAGTCAGTATAGTCAGTAGGTCAATCAGGTAAGTCAATAAGTCAGTCAGTCAAATCAGTCAGTAAGTCAGTGCAGTCGGTAAATCAAGTCAGTATAGTCAGTACAGTTAACTAAGTCAGTAGGTCAGTCCAATCAGTAAGTCAAGTCAGTACAACCAGTCAGCCAAGTTAGTAAGTCAGTTTATTCAGGTAAACACACACAAATACAGTTAAAAACAGTAGGGCACCATTTATACAGCAGGTTAGGTTCCAGGCTACCACTGTAAAGCAGAAATCACCATGAAGTGGAACGCCCTTGTTTCCACTTATAAATGCATATAAATAGTAGATAACAAGTTTACACTAACATATATTAAGTTAGCAATAGAACTAGGTATTAAAAAAAATAAAAAAGTAAAATGCAAATATAGTACACTCATTACTTACCTTAAAATATTTGTAGTCTGAATGTAGGGTGAGATGAGTAGTATTTATTGTAAGAAATCAAGTGTGGTATGTATGGAAGCCAGCCAGGCTACCATACCAGGCCACCCCACCCACACATAATATTCTATGATATTTAAAGCGTCCCAGAGCGATAAAATGCATATACAGTTCACTCATTACTTACCTGAAAATATTTGTAGTGTTAATGTAGGGTCAGAGGTGAGTAAAACAAGATAAAACGAATAAATGAAGAGAGGAGAGAGAGAGAGAGAATGAGTACATAAGAGAGGACAGGCACAGAGTTATGTAAACAAACCAGGCATACACGAGTTTTGTAAAGAAACCAGGCATATGCGTCTGGTTTGTGTATAAGTTACATTGTGTACAAGTTGTCTCCATGTTGATACAGTAGAATAAATAAAGAGCAACACTCCCATTCTCATGTTAACACCATTTTTAGAAGAAATGACGCTCTGAGTGAAGGCAGATGAAAGGAATAATTTTCTACAATTACCCCCAGTAATATTATAGTATACACACCCCTCAAGGGAGGTCCTTGATGCTGATGAGGGGCTCTTGATCTAGGGAATTGGATCTATGCTCCGGCTCCCTGAATTGAGCCTGAATGCCTTCCATTCCTCCCCACATGCGCTGTATAATCCTGTGGGTTTAGCACTCCCCCATGATTATAATAAAACATATATACATTTTCTCTGATGTCATTCGTACAAGTCATCTGGTTACTACATCTCACATTTATGTTTAATTTATTCTACTGTGGGGTGTATTTATAGAATGCCTATGTCACTGACACATTAATGCTGTTGTTGCCAATGAGTGATAATTTTTACACAAACTTCAGTACATCATAAAATTGTAAGTTTTTATCAGATTTCACTCATTCTGTAAGTTTTTTTTTTTTTTTTTTTTTTCAAAATCTTCCCACACACACAGGAATTTTTATTTGGGGTATGCTACAGTTTAGAAGCTCATTAATATAGCAAATATGAGGTGTTTTCTAGGATGGTTTTTATGATTTTATTAGTATCATTGGATAGAATGGAAGACGTACTACTGAAATAGAGATGATTTTGATTTCTTCCATTCGATTTGTGCCGATTTTCTTGAGGATGGGTAAGGCCTCCCTCAATCTATTTTATGGGGTTTTCCTAGGTCTGATTCAATTATTGGGATACCATAAATATTGACTAATCATTACTGGTTTTATTTTATTATTATTATGTGATATATTCAAAATGGAAGGCAAATGTTAAATAGGAGAGACCTGGGAATTGATTAATGAACAGAGGACATGTTGTTTTAGTGCCTGGGTTGTCTACAGTGTTTATTTATCAAATTACTGTGTAAAAATTGGCCAAATTATCAACCTCTGTACACTTTATATATGGTAGTTTTAATAGCTGAGTGGGCATTTTTTGTGCTCTGTCGATAAAATGGAAGGAATACTAGCAAAATAGCTAAGAATTTGGTCAGATTTAGCAATGGAATCAGTTTAATCCTTAAACTGTCCAAATGTAGATCTATGTTTGCGCGTGTAGTGCTCCGGTCTTGATTTTCTCCATAAGAAAGCATGTAAAAAACATAAGATTTACGTTTGGGGCGCTACGCGAGCAAACGTAGATCTACATTTGGACAGTTTAAGACTTAAACTAGGACTAAAAATCAGCAAAATTACCAATGCGTCAATTGTGTCCAGACCGCTGATTTTGTGCCTTTGAGCATTTTGTATTTTGGGACTTTGGACAGTGAAGGCATTAACAGAACCAACATCTCCTTAATGACATCCTCCTAAGAGAAAAAAGAGAGAAAGAGAGAGAGAATTGAAGGTATACATTATTGCATTAGTTGATGCACACCAAAGTCAGGTCAAAAACCTGTTTAGCATCAATAAAGTTTACATAACCCTGCCATCTAAATAATCTTAAGTGATGCAACCAATTATATTGGGTGATTAAATCTTAGAGCATGCACTGAAGCAATGTTAATCCTTTTCTGACAGTCATAACAATAGCATCTTTACTCCAATTATATACCAAACCTCGTAATAAAGGTATCACCTCAAACAGTGTGTCTTTCTCTTTATCTCTGCTCCTCCCTTAAGTTAAGTTCACTGCCATGTTGAATTGTAAGTGAAGGGCAAAAAACATGCAGACATGCTTCATTGAGCTCTCCAACATATGCCTTTGTGAGGTAGTTGTACTGAGGTGATTGCTGCAACTGTTGACCCACCCTATCTACAAAACACTTGTATTAGGAAAGACTTATTAACTACCCTTTTGAATATCCTGCATCAGAGAAGTGTGGCTTCTTTTCTGACTTCCCAGAGAATGGCCACAAAATAAATTTGTGTACCTGCACCCTGCCTCTGGCTTTGCTTATCCTAAAGCAGAATGTTTGTTGCATATTGAAAATGTAAAGGTGAATTATCCTAGCATGCTTATATTTGTATTTCTTTATTATATTAGCTTTAGTTGTAGAATAAAAGATAACTGGTAGTAGCCTTAGGTTATGCCATAAAATAAAAATAAGCTTACCTGATGCTGCGAGGCCCCAATGTCTTTTCTCTTTTTCTTCAGGCAGTTGATGTGAGAACAGTTACCAGCATCATTAGCTCTCAACATTCTCGGCCTCATTCCCATGCCATCCACATTACTCAGAGTTCTTTGGCAAGCTGCACAACAGTTGATCACACCCACAACCTCTCAACTTCAAGATCCCTTGATGGAGGAGCCTCACCTTCATCTGTGTACTCAGTTTCACCAAGCAGCACTCTAAGTTACATTGGAGGCAATATAACTCAGGGACTAACAGAGGCATCAGAGGACTTTTCTCAAGAATTTCTAAATTCTCTTCAGCAAAGTGGTACTACTGCAGCAGAGGGAGCATCAAACTTAGTGTGTCCTTACTGTGGTAAAGTTAGCCGCTGTCTAAGTCATCTTCAAACGCACATTAGAGTTCATACTGGTGAACGGCCATATGCTTGCCATTACTGCCCTTTCAGGACCACACAGAAGGTTGCTCTAAAAGAGCATATCTACACACATACTGGTGAAAAGCCACATTCTTGTCCACATTGTGACTTCAAATGTGCAAAGAAATGTAATTTAAATTCACATATGCGAAGACACCATGCTTCCCATTCTGTTGGCCTAATTTTGCAAGATTTGGGTATTTAGTGAGCAAATTTACTCATAAACTGTTTGTCATTTAGATCTACGGCCACATGGAGGAACTGAGCATAAAGTAGATCAGCTATATAATTTTCAAAGTCTTAATTTCAGCGAGATATAATTTGGTTCACAGAATGAAATAGATCAGATCGATGACAAGCTAGTGCTCTAACCATTGGTTAGTTCACAGCCTGTCAGTTTTAGCACTGACTTGCCATATGTTTAAACTGTATTCATTCTGTGAATTATTTACAATTGTGTCATTATGATTTCATGTGTCACAAGACATAATACAATTTATATCTAACAGATATATTGTATTAGGTCTTATGTAGAAAAAATGTATATCCAGTAAAAATATCTGCACATCATTCTCCAACAGGAGGGTTATTTATTAATAAAGTGATCATTATGGACAAAGGTTGATACTTTATGGGAAGAGAACACTGGTATTATTGTATAATAACCTTCCAGAGAGCAGTGACAGTGATACATAGTTCATTTTGATGAAAGACTTGTTATATTGTTAGCAAAACTTTTACAAGCAGAAGTGTGTCTAAATCTTCTTGGGAGATAAAAAACAGGTGCCCTTCATGGAAACATGGCTAGAGAACACTAGCGGTATTGTACAGAATTAATAGCAACAGCAAAATTAGTGATACCACGATATATTTTATAACATAACAAAGTCAGCAATACAGGTTGTGTAGATGAAATGACAAGCTACCAGGACTCCTCTCAATGCTGTGCAAGTGGCCACAGAGTACTATGCAAGAAAAAGAATCTTCTTTGGAGACATGACAAAACGGAAAATTTAATTGGCTTGTACTGTTTTAAAGGAAGAAGTGATCACAAGTTATGTTGCACTTTCACTGTAAAGGCTATTTTGTGTTACCTTGTTTCATCAGACCTATACGCTGAATTACATGTGAAATTATAATTAGATTGTGTATACTGTAAATAGTTTAATAACTATGAATATGTTTATGATTATGTACTGTATATACAAGCATTATATTGTAAAAATGGGTGCTAAACAAGATTTTGTTGAACTGTGTAACTAGTCCTAAGTTGCCCAAGATCTTCACCTAATTCAGTGGTAATGTATAGTACTGTTTTGATTTATAGCATTGTTTATAGGATTTTATTATTATATTTGACATTTTCTAACATAAAAAGAACTAAATTTATACATAAGAAGATGCTTGGGGAAAGGGAGACAAGGTCCCACATAGGCCACAGTGTATGTTTTAAATTTCCTGGTTTTAAATCAAAGTCAAAGATTTATTTCCACATGATACAATGTTTGTATAGAGATGGGTGACATTTAGTAGTGCACGCAGAAAGCCCATGGTTATGCAAAGCATTTCAGACAAGCTTAAATCTAATTTACAACTAAATGGCAAAAATTATTATTTCTTATATACCTTCACTGTTATTAAAAAATTTGTTATAGAATTTCTGCTGTAGGAGCCTTGGAGGACCCACCTGCAGTACATTATGCCTTATTCACAAACCTTATGCTCAGTATGGCAACCTCTTTACCTCATTCTTCATTTGTTTATTATGACCACCATCAGTTGGGAGCCAGGAAAAAAAAACCTTAGCTCCAGTCACCATCTTCACAGTGTGGTGTACACACCTCCTCCTCCTCCTCCTCCTCCTCCTATATATCTTATTTGGCTGAGAGCCCTCCAGTTGCTTTCAAGATTTCTGGTGATCTTTTCTGTTACTTCTTGTGTGGTTGGTGACTGTCTCACGACCTGCTGTTTCTGCCTTCCTCTTCTTAAACTGTTGGTCTTCTCATCGGCAACTGAGTGCACAACTTGCTGTTCCCATCAACAACTGGGATTCCTCTGGCTCAGATTATCCTGCTTCCAGTGAGGCTCGGTTCTGCTCTCTGATGTGATGGCGTTCTTGTTATTGGCTATCTTGCATGCCTCTGCTGTGGCCAGTCACCACTTTCCTTGTTGGGTGCTATTCCCAGGAGTTGATCATCTTGGTAAGAGTGCTTCCTGTTTCTCAGTTTTACTTCTGCTGTCTTCCCAGCCTCTCTTCCTCCAGTTGCTTACCTATGACTCTCCCTATTCTGGTGGATGTCTCTGCTGCCTCTGCCTATATTGGGGCAACCCCCTTCTCCCTTTCCTTTGTTTTGCACCTTTGATCTTTATTTGTCTCATCTGGAGATACATTGGGATGCTTTTTTGTGTTCGTGGACTGTCTCCTAGGTGGCCCTGTTCAACACTGTATTAAACTATTCTTGACTTCACCTGTGCAGTCTTTCACATGCTCTTTCTAGCAATTCCATTCAGTCCCATGTGTCACCATGACTCAGTTCCTTCTCAAGACTGTTTGAATGTGTTTGGGAATGGCTATTTACTCTGTGCCCTCATTTGAACTTCATAAATATTCCATATCTAATTAGTACTTCTCTGCAATTGGCCTTGTTGCTGAACGTAGCAGAGGTGTTTTTCTGGGGCACCTTGGAGTGGTTTTTGTGGGTTGTCCTCTACCCTTTACTGCCCAGCTTCACTCCCTCTGTATCTCACCTGTCTGCTGGTTTGTCTTATTGAATGCTGCCTTTTTTTGAGCTGGTATTTTAGATGTTGGGGTCAGTGCTCTCTATGCTCTCTCCTGAATGCAGGACTATATCATGCCCTGGGGGTCGGTCCTGCTTTGGCCTTTCACCCCATTCCCTTTCCTAGTCAGATTTCCCTCCTGCAGACTCACCCATTTACCATTTAGCTTGGGGTGCTTTTGGGCTCTTGCCCTCCATCCTGTTGGGGTGGAAGGGGTCTCCTAGGTATCTTGTCTTTGTCTTCTAACTGGCTGTATATCTCTTGTCTGCATGGCATCTCTATCTCCTTTACCTGGGGCCTCTTAGTTATTGCCTGCTTGTATTTCCATGAGTGTAATGCTTTTCTGCAGCCTCAGCTTACTTCCAGTTTACTTCCAGGTTATATAGCTGTTAATGATTCTGTAGATCATTGCTTTTATCATCCAGACTTAGACAACTTCTCTTGGTTACTGCCCTTTGCCATCTAGCAGCTTGCCAGATAAATGCCAAGCTAAATGCCATTACCAGTTGCTATGCTTATCATCCACTCCTGGTCATCAGTGTGTCATTCCCAGGTTTCCTCCTTTTTTTTGGGTGGGGGGCATGTGTGGGTTATTACCATTTCAGACTCTCCATGGGTCTTACTATGATCTTATCTAACCGGAGGCCATAAATCACTCAGATGTTTTGGCTGGAGAAGGTCCAGAAACAACAGACAAAGTCTGCCATATTCAGAATAGTTTATTATTGTTATGGGTCACTGGGTAAGTTGATTTTGTATTTAACAAAATTGTTAAATCCAAAATTTTCATTATTGTTTCAAATGTTAAATACAGCTTCATCATTAGAATTTAACCTCTTCACTCTTGGAAGCCCTGAAGTTAAAATTACTGACAATGTAAGAATTGTTAAAAAAAAAATTATCTTGAAATAGTAAAGAATCTTTTTCTGAAGATAATGATACCAAAAATATGAAATTTGATGGAAAATTTTTGGAATGACACAAAGGCAAAGTTAGCAGTCTGGGCATAATTTAGGCATTGGCAATTTCACCAAATTTGAGTCCTATTTTATGTCAATTTCATTGATTAATCTGACCAAATTCTTAGCTGTTTTGCTAGTATACCTTCCGTTCTGTTGATTGAGCACAAGAAACTACCCATTCAACTATCAAAACTATCTAATAATGTGCACAGAATTTGATAATTTGGTCAGTTTTATTCACAGTTAAAAAAATACTAATTTAAAAATGAGAGTCCATAATAAATAATGTAGACATCTTTAGCACTAAAACATTTTCTCTGTTCATTAGTCATATCCCCAGGCCTCTCCTCTATAACACTTGCCTTCTGTTTTGAATTCTTATTCCCACCAAATAGAAGATTTACTCTATTTCTCAGATAAAAAAAAATATAACCAGGAAAGATTTCTCACAGTTTTACAACATCCCAGTTAGTGATTCAGACCTATAAAACAAATGGGGGGGGGATGTAGGGGAGGCCTTACCTATCCTCAGGAAAATCATCAAAAATCAAATATTACTGCTACTTAGAGATCAATTTGCAGCTATTTCTATTCCTTAAATCAACCAAAATAATGTTTATTTAAGTTATGTTGTTATTTGATACCAATTAACAACCAATAAAGCCATGAAAACCATCCAAGAAAACACCTCAAAGTCGCTATTTTTAACCATTCAATCGGAGTTTTGATTTTCCCCATCATTCACCATGTGGGGCAGGATATTTTTATGCTGTGTGTACTCATTGCAGACCCATTCTCTCAGATCTAGTCCCAAATTTATCATTCACAGTTTATCTGAGTGAGCTGAGCTCATGACATAGAACTCAATGACATGTTTCTACATGATAGCCACTGAGAGGGTTAATATGTTAAATCAAGGTTTCACTGTATTCATACATGTTTGGGTATGTATATACTGTATATTCAGTTAGAGTATGTACAGTTTACTTAGCTTAAAACTGATGTCAGAATTTACTTGTTTATAATAGAAGTATTCAGGAAATTTTGTAATGTACTTTATATGGTGTTTAAACTGAACATAAAAAACACTTAATCTCCCTAAACATAATGTTACTAAGAAATCAGTTATTATTTAATTTCTTTATAAATGATCCTTAGTTGAGAATTATTCAACTTGTTTAAATAGTTTGTTTCCAAATACGAAGTCATGAGTGAAAGATACAATACTGTAAATTTTCACTGTAAGTTTTTGTAATGTTCATTCTTGTACATAGTAAACCTTTCATGAAATAATGGATTTTAACTATTAAACCTCTAATATGTGATTAAAGCAATTTATTTTATAAGAAACTTTCATATACAGTAATAAGTATAGTTCCTGGTGTGAATCAGTAGTTTTAAAGTCATTATGTTAATTAAATAGTAAATTTATTCATGTACAAATATACTGCTTTAGGTTTGAATGAGAAATTATAGTGGTACTGTATATACAGCAAGTACTTAGTTAATGCACATGTTACATGACTGATAATCTGTTCATAACTAAAGTGGCATTATATGACGTAAAGAACATTAGGAAAATAGTGTTATGTTTTAAACACCTCTCTATTTACAGATCAACTTTATTTTTAATATTTTTCTGGGTAAAAATTATCTTACTTTACATTGCTTTAGTTGCTTCTTGAAACATTTGAAGAGTGTAGGGAGAATTTATGTGGGCCTAATGGACTGAATTTTAATATATCAAGGTTAATCGGCTGACACACTCAATACATACCTGGAGAGGGTTTCAGGGGTCAACACCCCCGTGGCCCGGTCTGAGACCAGGCTACATTTCCTTACCAAGATAAAGATAAAGAATCAAACACGAAGTGGGAGTTGTCACACTTGCTCTTTGCTTATGACACTGAGCTTTTGGGAGATTCTGAAGAGAAGTTGCTGAGGTTGGTGGATGAATTTGGTAGGGTATGTAAAAGAAGAAAATTAAAAGTGAATATAGGATGATGAGGATAACAAAAAGATTAGGTGATGAAAGATTGGATATCAGATTGGAGGGAGAGAGTATGGAGGGGTGAATGTATTCAGATATTTAGGAATGGATGTGTCAGCAGATGGGTCTATGAAGGATGAGGTGAATCATAGAATTGATGAGGGGAAAAGGATGAGTGGTGCACTTAGGAGTCTGTGGAGACAAAGAACTTTGTCTGTGGAAGCAAAAAGGGGAATGTATGACAGTATAGTTGCACCAACACTCTTGTATGGGTGTGAAGCATGGGGAGGCTAGAGTCAGTGATGTCATGTCTGATGGTAGTGTGTGGTGTGAATATAATGCAGAAAATTCGTAGTTTGGAAATTAGGAGAAGGTGTGGGATTACCAAAACTATTATCCAGAGGGCTGAGGAGGGATTGTTGAGGTGGTTCAGACATGTAGAGAGAATGGAGCAAAACAGAATGAATTCGAGAGTGTGTAAATCTGTAGTGGAAGGAAGGTGGGGTTGGGATTGGCCTAGGAAAGGTTGGAGGGAGGGGGTAAAGGAAGTTTTGTGTGCGAGGGGCTTGGATTTCCAGCAAGCATGCATGAGCGTATTTGAAAGGAGTGAATGGAGACAAATGGTTTTTAATACTTGACGTGCTGTTGGAGTGCGAGCAAAGTAACATTTATGAAGGGATTCAGGGAAACCGGCAGGCCGGACTTGAGTCCTGGAGATGGGAAGTACAGTGTCTGCACTCTGAAGGAGGGGTGTTAATATTGCAGTTTTATAACTGTAGTGTAAAGCACCCCTCTGGCAAGACAGTGATGGAGTGAATGATGATGAAAGTTTTTCTTTTTCGGGGCACCCTGCCTTGGTGGGAATCGGCCGATGTGTTAATAAAAAAAATATAATTATACCAAGCATATAGGAGCTTGCCACATCTATACCAAACAAACATAAGCCAAATATAATTGCATTTGATGATGTTAAAGGGAAACAAAATACAAAAATGTGGTTGGCAGCACCAGCTGCTTTCTTCATCTTGTTTTGGAGTGCTGGACTTCTGATATCATGAACTTTATCAAGCTGCCAGTAAAAGTCACAATTTTCTTTACTAAAATGTACCAGACATGGGAATTCATCACTAATATAAGACAAGCATATACAGTACTATACTAAAGATGCATGCATTTGAGAAGCAAGAATATTAACATATACATGTACTAAGTACTGTAGCAAGATGGTGTGGGAGGCAGTCAGAGAGATGTGGAGAGAGATATTGACAATGACTTTGGCACCCAGCCAAAGTCATATCTAACTTTTCAGTATCAGAATATATACAGTACATCTGAATCAGCTGTACAACTTTTATTTTGTATGAACCATACATGAGGGGCTGATAATGTTTTGAGCTGAAGTAACTAACACCACACACACTTTGGCCAAAATATTTTTCTGATTACATGTATAATAATAATTTGGCCAAAATAAAGCCAGAATCAGTAGGAAGATAGCCTGCTGTCACTCCTCTCTCAAAATATGATTTGTAAATTATAACAGACTTAAGTAAGGGGACAGTGCAAGGATTATGCAAACACTAACATTATGTTCAGCATTTGAGGTTATGTGTACAATATAGTAAAAACAGTTAATACAAAAAGAAGGGTATTATGAGGTAAGAAATTTAATAGATAAATTACAAGTTGGGGTGTGAGAAGTGGGCTTTTATGTCTGATTAAGTACCTATTCTCCAAAATCAAAATGTACTGTACTAGGCGATACATTACTTTCTTATTTCTTTTACTGTGTTCTTTCTCTAATGTTGAATAATATCGGAAGAAATTAACCCTTTGACTGTCGCAAGCCCCTTTCTGAAACTCATTCTTTGTCGCAAAACTTTTGGAAAAAAAAAATTATTTTTTATTATGAAATGATAGAGAATCTTTTCCAGATGGTAATGACACCAAAAGTATGAAATTTGACCGAAAACCCACGGAATTACGCTCCCATGAAGTTAGTGGTCTCGGCAACACATGCATCGGCGATTTCGCCGACTTTGACCCGTTTTTGGCCAATTCTGTTGTTCCAGTCAACCAAACTCATAGCTGTTTCTTTAAACTCCATTTTTTCTATCAATTGAGTAGAAGAAACCGCCCATTTACCGATTTGAACTACCAATAAAGTGGTCAGACATTGGCAATTTGGCCAATTTCACGCAAATTAAAAGACGCCAATTTCAAAATAGGGTCCAAAGTAAACAATGTAGACATTCTTGGCACTAAAATTACATATCCTCTGTTCATTAGTCATGTCTCTAGGCCCCTCTTATATTACTATTGCTTTCTATTTTGAATTTTTATTCATACAAAAAATGCAAAATTTACTGTTATGCAGACTACTGCATTATTGTAAAAATGGTATAAATAATATCAGTGTACTAGTGAAAGATATTAGACTCCCCAGTTGACGTGTATTGGACGTGTGGTGTGATTTGCTTACTCTTGAACATTGGTAAAAATCGAACATTTCCGCTACTTTGAGCTTAATTTCAAGGTCGTTTTCGTTGTGAAACTAATAAAAATCATCTCTATTTCTGCAATATGTTTTCCATTTTATCACGTGAGACCATGAAAACGAGAATACAACGATAAATACTATACGAAAATACACCTCAAAGTCGGCGTTTTAATCCAGAAGAACGGTTAGTTTTTTTTTTTTCTCATTATGCACTACGTGCTGCAGGATTTTTGTATGTGGTGCACACTGACCACACAGACCCATTCTCTCACATGTGGGCCTACCAGGTTTCTCCTGCTTGATTTGAAGCCGCTAGAATTATTGAGTACATACACGTCCGAAACACTGGCTCGTAAGACATATATATACAACCAAAACAGTCAAAGGGTTAATAATCTCTCTCGTGATTTTCAACTTTTTACTTCTTGTTTGATAAGAGATTTGTTTTGTTAACGTTTGCAATAACAAGTAATATATCTTTTAAAATAAGATTATTTTTTGTCTTTCACAGAGTGCTCTAAAAGACTGGAATAAAATGGAAGAAATAGACATAAAGGAAGAGGATATTTCTGATGACCAGGTTGAGGCACCCATGACAAATCTTAAGGAAACACAAGATAACAAGTATGATACAAGTACAAGATGACTGAAGAGTCAGAATATGTATAGATATACAGTGGACCCCCGGATAACGATATTTTTTCATACTGACCGAATTTGTTCCCATAAGGAATATTGTGAAGTAGATTAGTCCATTTCAGACCCCCAAACATACACGTACAAACGCACTTACATAAATACACTTACATAGCTGGTCGCATTGGGAGGTGATCGTTAAGCGGGGGTCCACTGTAACTGCAGAGAGAGTGAAAAAAGAGAGTGACAGGAAAAAGAAAGCATCTATGTAGTGAGTAAATAATATTTATGTACTTACAATGACAAGAATGGAGCATCTGCTTGTGGTGTCTTATTTTTAATCAATTTTCAGAGTTTCTTTTAGTTGAATCACACAATACCTGCTTTTGGATTCTGTTCCAGATGTTGACTGCAATATGAAGAAATATTTTAAAATGTCCATTCTGCATTCTTTCATAGGTACTTTAATTTGAAAATATAGTTGTTTGTTCTCCCTACTGCTGATACCAAGAAATCTTTTTTTCACTACACTTGACTGTTGATTAATCCCTTGAGGGGTCCAGACCCCCAATCTGAAAAGTATCCACAGGGTCAAAGAATTTTCACAAAAAAAAAAAAAAAATGTTAATTTTTCTTATGAAATGATAGAGAATCTGTTTCTGAAGGTTATAAAACAAAAAGTATGAAATTTGAATGAAAATTGACAAAATTATGCTTTTGCAAATTTTGCTGTATCAGCAATATTTACTCATTGGCGATTTTGCCCACTTTGAGTCCTATGTTAGGCCAATTACATTGTTCCAGTCGACCAAATTCTTAGCTATTTCACTAATATGTCTTCCATTTTATCGATTGAGCACAAGAAATCGCCCAGTCAGCTATTTCAGCTACCCAATAAAGTGATCAAAAATTGGTAATTTGGCCAGTTTCACCCAAATTTCAAAATATGCCAGTTTCAGAATAGGGTCCAGAATAAACAAAGCAGGCATTAATAACATTTCCTCTGTTCATGAGTTATGTTCCCAGGCCTCTTTTATATTACACTTGTTTTCCATTTTGAATAATTTTTATTCATACAAAAAAAATTGAAGGTTTACTGTTATGCATTATCATAATAATTGTATAAATAATGTCAATGCATTTATGAATGCATATTAGATCAACTAATTGGATGTGTATTGAACAAGTGACATAATTTGTTTACTCTGGAATATTGGCAGAAATCGAATATTTCTGCTACTTTGAGCTCAATTTCAAGCTACTTTCAGTCCTGAAACCAATCAAAATCCTCTCTGTTTCAGTAATATATCTTCCATTCTGTCAAATGATACCAAGAAACCGAGAATAAAACCATAAAAAAATCTGAAAATACACTGCAAATTTGCTGTTTTAAACCAAACACCTGATAAGTTTTTCCTATCATGCACTGCATGGGGTAGGACCTTTTTTATATGGTGCTCACTCACCACATAGACCCATTCTTTCTCATATTTAGGCCAAAATTCACCCCTCACAGGTTATCTGCATGAGCTGAGCTTGTGACATTAGTTCTGCAGCACTGACCTAGAGTTCAAAACCATAGAACTACAGCACTGACCCTTAACCCTTTCAGGGTCCGTCCCGTAGATCTACGGCTTTACGTTCAGGGTCCAAACCGTAGATCTACGTCATGAGCTCAGCTCACTCTGATAAACTGTGAGTGGTAAATTTGGGCCTAGATATGAGAGAATACATCTATGTGGTATGTGTGCACCACATAAAACAAATCCTGCAGCACACTGTGTATAATGAGAGAAAAAAAACTGAGACCATGATTTTCGATTAAAACAGCGACTTTGCAGTGTTTTTTCGTATGTTTTTTATAGTTGTATTTGTGATTTCTTGGTCTCATTTGATAGAATGGAAGACATATTACAGAAATGGAGATAATTTTGATTGGTGTTAGCACTGGAAATGGCTTGAAACTGAGCTCAAAGTGGCGGAAATGTTAAATTTTTGCCGATGTTCAAGAGTAAAAAAACGACCTCACACGTCTAATACATGCCAGCTGGTGGGTCTAATATACATTCACAAATGTGGTGATGATATTTATACAATTATTACAATATTGCATAACAGTAAATCTTCTATTTTTTGGTGCGAATAAAAATTCATTATGTGAATAAAAAATAAAAATGGAATTTATTTGTCAAGCCTCAAAACATAACTAATGAACAGAGGAAATGTTAGTTTAGTGCCAGGAATGCCTACATTGTTTATTCTGGACCTTATTTTGAAGTTGGAATATTTTGAACTTTGTGTTAAATTGGCCAAATTACCAATTTCCGGTCACTTTATTTTGTAGTTGAAACAGTTGACTTGGCAATTTCTTGTGCTCAATCGATAGAATAGAAGTAATACTAGTGAAATAGCTAAGAATTTGGTCGACTGGAATAATGTAATTGGCCTAAAATGGGAGTCAAAGTCGGCAAAATCGCCGATTCGTAAATATCGCTGACACATCAAAATTCACGAGAGCATAATTTCGTCAATTTTCCATCAAATTTCGTACTTTTTGTTTTATTACATTCACAAAAAGATTCTCTACCATTTCATTAGAAAAAATAAAACTTTTTTTTTTTTGAAAATTCTTGGACACTGGGGCACCACTTCAGATTTTGGCCTTGGACCCTGAAAGGGTTAAAGGGTTAAGACAATAGTTACATTCTTAAAAATTATTTCTAATTAAAAAATTCTCTAAAACAAACTAAAGAAAATATTGGAAAAATAAGGTTACATTCATCAAACACCCCCACCCACACCCAAAAAAAAATAGCAAACCTCTTTTTTTAGCTATCAAAAATGAACAAAAAAATAGAATGTAATTGTAGTTTATTGTTATAATGAATTATGTTTAATACATTGCTTAAGGCTACAAATGCTACATAAATAATATTTCTTAACCTAGATTGTAGTTGCTGGTGTATGTCGATGATTTTGAAAGGAGTAGAGAGGAATACTGTGGCCCTACTGGGCTGAGATGGAAGGTTGTGGATAATTAGCTGAGGTGGATGGTTGACACCAGTGGTGAAAAATTCCATGCATCTGGTCTCTTTTACCCTACAGTGCTTTATACAGCAGACAGTAAGGCTTCATCAGCTGCTCTAAACCCCATTTCAAAGCAGTACTTTTAGAGTTATCAGGGCCCTTTTCAGTGAAAAAGTTTGCTAATTTAGCAGCAACATGGAACTACTCAGGTAACTTGCAATGTTAATTATTTTCTTCAGGTTTTTTTTGGGGTGCCAGGTGTAAATGATAATGGGAGCCCTTTGATTGAACTTTGTATAGAAAGGGGTTTAGTTATAGGTAATACATATTTTAAGAAAAAGAGGATAAATAAATATACAAGATATGATGTAGGGCGAAATGACAGTAGTTTGTTGGATTATGTATTGGTAGATAAAAGACTGTTGAGTAGACTTCAGGATGTACATGTTTATAGAGGGGCCACAGATATATCAGATCACTTTTTAGTTGTAGCTACACTGAGAGTAAAAGGTAGATGGGATACAAGGAGAATAGAAGCATCAGGGAAGAGAGAGGTGAAGGTTTATAAACTAAAAGAGGAGGCAGTTAGGGTAAGATATAAACAGCTATTGGAGGATAGATGGGCTAATGAGAGCATAGGCAATGGGGTCGAAGAGGTATGGGGTAGGTTTAAAAATGTAGTGTTAGAGTGTTCAGCAGAAGTTTGTGGTTACAGGAAGGTGGGTGCGGGAGGGAAGAGGAGCGATTGGTGGAATGATGATGTAAAGAGAGTAGTAAGGGAGAAAAAGTTAGCATATGAGAAGTTTTTACAAAGTAGAAGTGATGCAAGGAGGGAAGAGTATATGAATAAAAAGAGAGAGGTTAAGAGAGTGGTGAAGCAATGTAAAAAGAGAGCAAATGAGAGAGTGGGTGAGATGTTATCAACAAATTTTGTTGAAAATAAGAAAAAGTTTTGGAGTGAGATTAACAAGTTAAGGAAGCCTAGAGAACAAATGGATTTGTCAGTTAAAATAAGAGAGGAGGGTTATTAAATGGAGAGTTAGAGGTATTGGGAAGATGGAGGGAATATTTTGAGGAATTGTTAAATGTTGATGAAGATAGGAAGCTGTGATTTCGAGTATAGGGCAAAGAGGAATAACATCTTGTAGGAGTGAGGAAGAGCCAGTTGTGAGTGTGGGGGAAGTTCGTGAGGCAGTAAGTAAAATGAAAGGGGGTAAGGCAGCGGGATTGATGGGATAAAGATAGAAATGTTAAAAGCAGGTGGGGATATAGTTTTGGAGTGGTTGGTGCAATTATTTAATAAATGTATGGAAGAGGGTAAGGTACCTAGGGATTGGCAGAGAGCATGCATAGTTCCTTTGTATAAAGGCAAAGGGGACAAAAGAGAGTGCAAAAATTATAGGGGGATAAGTTTGTTGAGTGTACCTGGTAAGTGTATGGTTAGAGTTATAATTGAAAGAATTAAGAGTAAGATGGAGAATAGGATAGCAGATGAACAAGGAGGCTTTAGGAAAGGTAGGGGGTGTGTGGACCAGGTGTTTACAGTGAAAACACATAAGTGAACAGTATTTAGATAAGGCTAAAGAGGTCTTTGTGGCATTTATGGATTTGGAAAAGGTGTATGACAGGGTGGATAGGGGGGCAATGTGGCAGATGTTGCAGTTTATGGTGTAGGAGGTAGGTTACTGAAAGCAGTGAAGAGTTTTTACGAGGATAGTGAGGCTCAAGTTAGAGTATGTAGGAAAGAGGGAAATTATTTCCCAGTAAAAGTAGGCCTTAGACAAGGATGTGTGATGTCACCGTGGTTGTTCAATATATTTATAGATGGGGTTGTAAGAGAAGTAAATGCGAGGGTCTTGACAAGAGGCGTGGAGTTAAAAGATAAAGAATCACACATAAAGTGGGAGTTGTCACAGTTGCTCTTTGCTGATGACACTGCTCTTTGGAGATTCTGAAGAGAAGTTGCAGAGATTGGTGGATGAATTTGGTAGGGTATGCAAAAGAAGAAAATTAAAAGTGAATACAGGAAAGAGTAGGTTATGAGGATAACAAAAAGATTAGTGATGAAAGATTGGTATCAGATTGGAGGTAGAGGGTATGGAGGAGGTGAATGTATTCAGATATTTGGGAGTGGAGGGTGTCAGCGGATGGGTCTATGAAAGATGAGGTGAATCATAGAATTGATGAGGGTAAAAGGGTGAGTAGTGCACTTAGGAGTCTGTGGAGACAAAGAACTTTGTCCTT